TACTAAAAAAAAAAAAAAAAAAAAAAAATCCCTGACCTTAGTATTTAGCAAGTATGTACTAGTGACTAGGGTCAGACACCTCCCCTCACACTGAAGATATAGCAGGGGCAGATAGGGCAGATGCTGCTCTTGAGCCTGGAGGGTTTATCCCTGGATAGGGCAAGTGAAACAGAAGTACACAAAGGAGCACACTTCACATGGAGAGCAGAGTGAGACAGTTAACGCGAGGCAAGGGAGTGAGTGGTGCGTATGGCCAGGGAGTGAGGAGAGGCTGCTCGTAGGTGAAGAACCCCAGACTGGCAGCCAGCCTCGCCCCCACCCTGGGGCTGTAGCGCTGGCATGGGACCGGGAGGGGAGCTATACACAGACAGTGCCCACCCCTTTGCCCTGTGCAGCCACATACAGTTCCAGGAACCCCTGAAAAGCCTCTCACACAGTGCCAGAAAAGCCTTGGGGGGGATTATATATATATTTTTTTCTTTTTTTTTTTTTTTAAATTTTGGTCATCTGTCTGTTTACAGCCTCCCAAGTGCTGGGATTACAGGTGTGCACCACCATGCCCAATCTCACCTTAGGGATATATATATATATATATATATATATTTTTTAATATTTATTTATTTATTTATGTGTGTGTGTGTGTGTGTGTGTGTGGCCAGCTCAGCCCACCAGGGGGCGGGGCTGGCTGGCATGTGGTGCTGGGGGATTGAACCGTGGTCCCTGTGCTTTGCTAAGCTTGTTCCAAGTAGGTGCTTTAGACCACTGAGCCATCTCGCCAGCCCCATCCTTAGGGATATTTTGAACAAAATAACTACATATGATGTTGGACACAGTGGTACCTGCCTGTAGTCCCAGCTACTACGGAGGCTGAGGCAGACAAATAGTTTAAAACCAGCCTGGGCAACATATGCAGATCTACCTTAAAAACAAACAAACAAACTACTACATAATAAACTATTTAACCTAAATATTAAATATTTATTTTTTATGTATTTAGTACAGCGTTTATAGGATCTACAGGGACTCACTACACAGCTCAGACTCATAGTGAACCTCCTGTTTTCAGTCTCCCAAACGCTGGGATTACAGGCCCGCGCCACCACACCCAGTCCCAATCGCCGTCTCAGCGTGCCTGAGGGGCAGGGCCAGCTGGGCACACCGGGTACCTAACCCCAGTCACTGCGTCTGCCTAAGCAGGCTCTTTAATTCGCTGAGCTGTTTGGCTGGCCCAAACGTATTAGATTTGGAGAGATTTAGAGATTCAGGGTCCTCTGGTTTAGATGCTAACAGCTTAGCAGGCAGCTCAATTCAGTCCAGAAAAGGCTGGAAGGAACCCAGGGTTGGCCGGGCTTTTTCCTACCACATCTTACTTGCACAAACAATGGAAACCAGCAGGGAGGCTGTGGAGGCTGCAGAGGACACAAGAACAGAGGCCAACGCAGTTTGAATCACAGCCGAAACCTGGCTTCATTGGCCTCAGGATTGCACGAGGCTCCCAGTTACAGGCCTGCGGTGACAGCAATGCAGGATGGCATTTGCCCCCTCTGCCACAGAGGTTGCAGGCAAACCCAACTCCTCTGGACTCCTTTTCTTTCTTTTCTTTATTCTTTCTTTATTCTTTCTTTCTTTCTTTCTTTCTTTCTTTCTTCTTTCTTTCTTTTTTTTTTTTTGGTGTAAAGACTGAACCCAGGGGTTTTACAGGAAGCTATGTCCTAAACCTTTTATTTTTTTTTTTTTAGGACAGGGTTTTCTTGTCATAATAATTGCCCAGGTTGGGCTCATATTTACTCCTTCACAGCCTCAGCCTCCAGAGTGCTGGGATTGCAGGAAGCTCTACCATGCCCGGCTGTTTTGTTTTTGGAGAGAGGGCTGTCAGTATTCAGGCTGGCCTGGAACCCACCATTCCCTGGCTCAGACTCCTAAGTTCTAGCATGCTTTTTTCCATGGAAAAATGGAGATTGAACCCAGGGTGTGGCACTGCGTGGGAAGTCCTCTATTGCTGCCCTACATTCCCAGCCCTTTTCATTTAGTTTTTAACTTTTTTTTTCCCCAGAACTAGGGATTAAACCCTGTACCCTGTACCTTCACACTGTTATATAGCCCCAACCCTATTTTTTGAGACAGTTTTGCTAAATTCCCCCGGCTGATTAGAATTTACAATCCTGCCTCAGCCTCCCATGTAGTTGGAATTATAGACACACACACCGCCATGGCCAGGTTCCTCCAGACTTCTATGGGACATGTATTCCTGAAAATAAGGCATAAGAAGTCAATATCCATTGTTTTCTACCACACTATACTCTGTGGACACCATGTCTATTATTTATTTTGAGGTCTACAACATCCGCAATCCTGCCTCTGCCCCAAGTGCTAGATATGCCATCATACCTGGCTCTAATATCACTTATTGCACTGACTCGGGAACGGGAAAATTCTGGAAACCATCTGTTCCACAAGGATGTTTAGTTTCATACAGTAGACACACACACACACACACACACACACACACACACACACACACGTTAGGGGCCAGCGAGATAGCTCAGAGGTCTTTGCACCTGCTTAGGCAAGCGCAGGGATGGGGGTTCCATCCCCGGCACCACATGCCCCGCCAGCCCTGCCCCCAGGCATGCTGAGATGGCCACTGAGACCCGGCGTGGTGGCACACACCTGTACTTATAATCCGGAGCTGGGGAGGCTGAAAACAGGGGGATTACTACCAATCCAATCTGCATAGTGAAAGACCCTGTACCAAATCCATTTAAAAAAAAAAAGTTTGAATAGAATATTGCTTATTCAAAATTGTCTTGTGAGACTTAGAGAATAAAAAGATCATATGCATCTATTTAACTTTTTTTTTAATGTGTTTAGGACAGGATCTATAGGGCCCCACTACATAGATCCGACCCATTAGTGATTCTGTTTTCAGCCTCCCAAGTGCTGGTATTACGGGTGCACGCCACCACGTCCAGTCCCAGTCCTCGGCTCAGCGCGTCCCCTCAGCACACCCTGGAGACGAGGCTGGTACGGCACGCCGGGGATCAAACCCCACCACTTCACTCTCCCTGAGCAGGTGCTTTAGTCCACTGAGCTATCTGGCCGGCCCTTTTTTTTTCTTTTTGGTACCAGGTGGAGGAGGATTGGAATCAGGACCTTGTGCTTGCCAGGCAAGCGCTTAAGCGACTGAGCTATCTCCCCAGACCTCTATTTAATTTCTCAAGTAAACAAAATTAAACTAGAAGGTCAGTTCAATAAACTTAAAGAATGGCCATGCTCAGGGGGTTTTATCTATATTTTAAATTTATTTTTAATCACAAAAGAAATGCATGTTGGGAAAATTCAAAAACTTTAGGAACATATAAATGGAAAGCCAAAGTCTCATGTAGAACTCCTGCTTTCCAGCAATAATACAGGGGCTGCAGACACTGCCATTGGGATTAAGAGTGGTTGAAAAACCAGGGAAAACAGCCAGGAAGAAGAAATTGACTCCTCTGTATTACAAACAGTGCTGCTCTGCACAGCTAGTGGTGCGTGCTACCACTCTTTCATTGGCAGATTTGAGATTCCTCCTCTGTTCACAAGAAGATTTAGTGTGATCTGTAATATGTCCTCTGAGAGAAGCACGTAAATTCTCTGACAACCATTCTTGGATAAAGACGAAAAAATGATCCGAGGCCCAGGAAGGTATCTGTTATGTGCAGGGAATATTTTGAAGATGAAAACTGTTGTGTTTGGGAGTCATACTGCCACGACAAGCCGGTCCCCTCAGCCATGACAGTCATGCTGTGACGTCCACCAGGCTGCAGGATGCCTCACTCCCACCAACCCCACACTTTTTCTTCTAAGAAATAAGGATGAATTTTCCCCTCATGCCCTTCACATGGGCAGCGGCACTAGACACCCAGGCTACTGTGCCCACCTCCCACTGACCCTACTCCAGCAGGGCCTCTGCTCCTGAAGGTCCCCAAACAGGCTTAGTACTTTCTGCTGGAAGCCAGTGCAAGTGTTCTGCAATCGTCTTCTATTTGAGATCAATAAACCAGCAGCTAAAGTCACTGTTGGCTACTCAAAAGTCATCATCGCTGCTATCAAAGTCCAAGTGATACAGTAAGCTCTTCCCTGTCTTCTTATATGGAGCAGGCTCCGAATTTTCTGGGTTGAGGTCATTGAACCAGCTCATCCGGTGGTCCCTCTGGAGACTGCTGGAGAGGAGCCTGCTTCCTTTGGAAGGGCCGATGGTGAACTGTAAGGCTTCCCCTCTCACTGTCTTGCTGGACTTGACTCTTCCTTCAGGAACAGGACAGAGTGATCTGGGGGACCTTCTGGGACTCGGCAGACACAGGGCCTGAGCGAGGAGCTCTTGTTGCCCCTTTGGGGACCTTGGTGGACTAGAAACTGGAGACTGCGGATGCTGGTATTTAGGGTTAAAGGTGCAGGTCTTGCTCAGGGTTTGGCCTCGCTTCCTAGTCAAGAGCTTGCCTCTGCGGGCCTTCCTGGGTTGCTGCATCTTTTCTTCCCTCCCTCTTTCTACAGTCCTGTCCTTCTGTTTAGTCACCAGCTGTTCACATGGATCACAAAAAAATATACTTCGGCCCTGGTATTCTGGGCAGGCATTCTGAATGCTGTTTGCAACATTGTGTAAGTCCAGGGATATGAGCTGTGGGTTTCCTTGGGAAACCAGATCACATACCTTGTGACCTGGGCCACTGGAGCCACAGTTCTGAGGACTTGTTTTAGTGATAGTTGAATCCTGGCAGTTAGTCTGCCTAGCCTTGTCCTTTACTTGCCTATACACTTTGCAAGGCTCGACTGCTGGCAGTGCAGCCTTTCCTCGGAGAGAATCACTCTCTTCTTGCTCAGCGCAGACTCTAAACTCTGCAGGTCTCAGGGATCCTGCAGTGGGGATCCCTGCAGCAGGGGCAGCCTGGGTCTGCCATGTAACTGGCTCTTCACAGGGGAGTTTTGTCTGCTTGATGAACCTGAGGCTCTGGGCCAAAGGTGGTGAAGTCTGAGAAGCACTGTCTTTCACACAGCCAGGTACCAGAGGTGCTGAGATCAATCTCTTCAGTTTTTCAAGGACATCAGGCACATGCAGCTGGCCTAACTGCTCACATAGCTGCTGGAAGTCCTTACTCTGCTGGGCTACTAAAACCTCAAGCTGCTTTAGGCTGGACTTCATTTCTGTAAACTCTGTTTGCGTCTGTGGAGAGGCAGTGAGAAAACAGATAACAGGCAGTGCAAGTTACAAAGCACAAGAAAATATAAGTATGACCCTGGAAATCTTCCAGAGTAAGCACAGCTGTACTTGGAGAAGGCACTGGGGCCATGCCCTGCCGGGGAACTCTGGGGCGAGGCCGGCCTGGACCCCGGCTCATTCCCAAGGGGCCTGTGCTAGCTTTGGTCTTCATTGCTAAAATGTGAAACTTTAAACTATCTGGATTTTAGTTACAAAGACAAAAATAAACTCAAACAAAGAATTTGGGATTTATACTTACAGTTTCTAGTTTCTTTTGCATCTCAAGGATGGCCTGCTCTGCATTGCTTTTTTGTACCACCTCAAACCTCATGTCACTCTGAGCCTGTGCCGTCTCTTGTACTAAATACAGGAAAAAAGATGACCATTACACTGTGAAGACTGTGGCATGTCCCCCTGCCCAGACCACAGTGGTGGAATAGGATAAAGGCACTGGTATGGACCCCTTGGGCCTTCTTTCTTAACACCCAGGATTCTGTTTTCCTCAACTAGAGTGGCTTCTTCACATTTCATTTTTTCCCTGAGAAGATCCTGCTAGGGACCTTGAAAATCTGCAACCAAGATCAAAGGACAGGACCAAACCCCTTAGCCTTCCTTATTAGGCCTGTAGAATAAGATCATCAGCATGATCTCTGCAGAACATGGGTATCATCCTGCCCCCTAACCTTCACTGGTTCAATGGCATCCCACTGGCCAATGAACAAAGTTTTTTTTTTTTTTTTCCTGTACTGGGAATTGAACCCAGGACCTTCATACTAGGCTACATCTCCAACCATTTTTTTCAGACAGGGTCATGCTAAATTACTCAGGTGGGACTTGAACTTGTGATCTTTCCACTTAAGCCTCCTGAGTGCTGGGATTACAGATGTGTGCCACCAGCCCTAACCTTTCAACTGGCTAACAAGCCCTGGGCTTACTCAGTCCCCACTTCTCATCTCTGGGCTTTGAGTCTTACTTTCTCTTAAGCAAACGAAACCTTCAGCTCAGAATACTCCTTGTATTCCTGCCATGCCTTCCTCCTCTCCCAGCCACCACCTCAGCCCAGCTAATTCCTCTTTTCTCTACCCTTGTATCACCTCCGTGGGGAACCCCACTCCTCTCTGTGGTGGCACCAGGCTCTTGCATCATGTGCCCCCTACAGTCATTTCCTGCTTATACTTGGGCAGGAGTGGTTCGGTCTCACACGCCACATTTAATAACACATTGTGTTGCAATTCTTGCCATCCTCTTGCTAGACTAGAGGTTATATCAAGATGCCCGTATATTTATTTAACAAATATTTAATGAGCATCTTTGAGGTGCCCGACACTGTAGACAAACAGTAATCAAGAACGCTAAAGCTAATATATATAATATATATGTATATATATAATATGATAAATATATATCTATATCTATATATATCTTGTTTGCTTTTTTTTTTTTTTTTGGTACTGGGGATTGAACTCAGGACCTTGCGTTTGCCAGGAAGCACTTGTTCTACTGAGCTATCTCCCCGGCCCTGCTTTTGTTTTTTGAGACAGGGTTTTTCTATGTATTCCAGGCTGAATTCAAGTTCAAGGCAATCCTCCTGCATCAGTCTGTGGAGTGCTGGGATTACAGGCACGTGCCACCACACTGGTTTAAGAAAGATACATACAGCTCAATTGAAATTACAGTCTTATCAGGGAAAACAGGCAGTCAGTAATTATACACATAACTATTTAGGGATACAACAAATGCTCTAGAGGAAACATATACTGAGCTTCAGGCTAGTCAATCTCAAAAGTGAGGTAAGACTTACTTAAGGAGCTGGTAATTAGCTCAACCATCATTAGCCCATGAGGGAAGAACATTACAAACAAAGAAAAAATTCACCCTCATCCGGGCATGTCTAAAACATGCTGAACAGAGACAGGGCCTGGGGGTATGTGTGCCACAACAAGATCTGTAGATTTGATCCTAGGCCTTGGTCACTGACAAACTTAGGCAGAAAGTTGGCCCAAATGCCTTTTCTCTTTGAAAGGCACACGCTTTTTTTTTTTTTTTTTGCAGAACTGGGGATCAAACTCAGGCCCTTGTGCTTGCCAGGGAAGCGCTTATTCTACGGAGCCATCTCCCCGGCCCCTGAAAGGCACACTCTCAAAGAGGGTGAGAGAGGAGGAGAAGTAGACATAAAGAGAATTATTAAGATATGCTACGTACATGTAGCTACTCTGCACAATGAATATAATCATGTACTGCAAATGTGTACTAATAAAAATGTTTTTAAAAGAAATCTGTATTCTAAATGAGTAAACCATATGGCCTATGAATTATTTCTTAAACTGCTAAAAGCACATGCCATGTAATATTGATATTTAAAAAAGGAGCACTCAGGCAGGGTGGAACAGGCCTGTAATCCCAACACTCAAGAGGCTGAAGTAGGAGGATCACTGCAAGCAAGTTCAAGCCCAGCCTGGGCTACAAAGTGAGATGAAGGCCAGCCTGCCCTGCACAGTGAGACCCTTTCTCAAAAAACAAAACAAAACAAAACAGACACAAATAATAACAGGATTCTAAATAAGTGGAAAGCTGGGGAGATGGCTCAGTGGCATAAGCACCTGCCTGGCAAGCGCAAGGTCCTGAGTTTGATCTCCGGCAGCAATAACAGCAACAATAATCAGTGGAAAAAGGAACTGTTGCCAGGCATAGGAGCACTCTGGGAATTCCAGCTAAAGCAAAAAGAGGGCCGGCCAAACAGCTCAGTGTATTAAAGCGCCTGCAAGCAGGGGCCAGGGCCTGTGTGCCAGCCCCACCCCTGGGGCGTGCAGAGATGGCAACTGAGACTGGGCGTGGTGGAGGCTATAAACAGGAGACTCACTAAGAGTCTGATCTCGTAGTGAGGCCCTGCACACCCTGTAAGCCCTTCCCTAAAATTAAAAAAAAAAAAAAAGGAACACAAGTTCAAATGTAGCACTCCAAAGTGTCACCATGCCTGCTCCTCCACCCCGGCCCTTTTTTTTAAAGACAGACTTAGCAAGATTAGCAAGATCTTATCTCAAAATTAAAAAATAAAAATAAAAAAGCCTAGGGGATGTAGTTCAATGCAAAGGCCTTCGGTTCAGTCCCCAGTACCATGGCAGGGGTGAGGTGGGCTGGTCACTAAAGTGTTCAATCGTGGCACTGGGACAAATTGTTAGATATCTACAAGATAACTTTTTACAAGATAATTAATATGACTTTCCCCATAATTCTGTTAAGTATATTAAAAGTCTACAACATAATTCAGTGTAGAAACAATCATAAGTTCTTTACCTCCTAATCAGGCATGTTACTGTCTCTTACAGAGGAGGATAAAGAATTGTAATAGATGTCTCAAAATCCTATTTTTTTTTAAAGTATTTGGTACAGGGTCTCACTACACAGATTGGACTCATAGTGATCCTCCTTGTTTTCAGCCTCCCAAGTGCTGGGATTACAGGTGCAGGCGTGCGCCACCACTTCTGGACTCCGGCTGGCTCAGCGCGCCTGCAGGTGGGACTGCCCAACTGGCCGCTGAGCTATCTTGCCAAAATCCTTTTAGCTCTATTGATAAGCGCAGGAAAACTATTTTAATGTTACACATATCTCAACTATATAACAACAACAACAACAAAAATTAAGTGGATAACAAGTATAATTTACAAATAACCAAGAATAAGAAGTCAGGTATTTTTTATCTGTTTATAATTATCTAAAGAATGCTTAAAGATTCTTTGCGGATGTGGTGGTACACACCTGTAATTCCAGCACTCAGAGGCTGAGGTAGGAGGGTCACTGCAAGTGCAAGGCCACATAGCGAGACAGGGAGTTACGGGGAGACGCTGGGTCATATAGGGAGACTCCGCCTCAAAAAAACAAGCAAGATTCTTAACTAATTTTTAATTTGTTTGGGTTTTTTTTTGTTGGCTTTCTTTTAAAATCATAGCATCTTTTTTAATTTTATTTGCTTATTTTTTTACGGAACCGGGAATTGAACTCAGGCCCTGGTGCTTGCCAGGGCAGCACTTATTCCACTGAGCCATCTCCCTGGCCCCCTTGTTTGTTTGGGTTTTTTTTCCCCCCTCCTTTATTTATTTAATTTCTTGTTTGGTTTTTGAGACAGGGTCTCATTATGCAGTTTAGGCTGGTCTGAAACTTACTTTGTAGCCCAGGCTGGTCTCAAACTCACATCAATCTTCCTTCCTCAGCCTCCAAAGCGTGTCACCATACCTGCTCCTCCACCCTGGCCCTTTTTTGAAAGACACGGTCTTGCTGTGTGTTTCAGGCTGGACTTGAACTCAAGGTGATCCTCCTGCCTCAGCCTCTCCAGTGTCAGGATTATAGGCTTGTGCTACCACACCCAGCACAAAAAAGGGCTTTAACTCTTTACAATAAATAGTAGGGAAACCTGAATACATACGGTAGTCAGAAAGTGGTGAGAGGGCCAGCCAGACAGCTCAGTGGACTAAAGCGCCTGCTTATGCAGGGTGCGTCGGGCCGGCTCCATCCCCAGTGAGCCCTGCTGGCCCTGGCCCTGGCCCTGGGGTGCGCTGAGATGGCGATTGAGGCTGGCCAGACTGGGTGTGGTGGTGCGTGCCTGCTATCCCAGCGCTTGGGAGGCTGGAAACAAGAGGATCACTATGCATCCAATCTAGTAGTGAGACCCTGTAGACCCTGTCCTAAATTCATTAAAAAAAAAAAAAAACAGAGAAAATTGTACATAAACCTATAGTATGTAGTTTTGTTTTTTGTTTTTTTGCGGAACCGGGGATTGAACTCAGATCCTTGCGTTTGCCAGTCAAGCACTTATCCTACTGAGCCACCTCCCTGCCCCCCCCCCCTTTTTTTTTTTTGTCTTTTTCCAGTACTGGAGATCAAACTCAGAACCTTGAGCTTGCCAGGCAGGCACTAATGCCACTGAGCTATATCCCCAGCCCCATAAACCTGTAGTATGAAAGTCTTTTCTATTTTTACTTTGTGTTTTATTTATTTAGTTACAAGAAGGGTCTCCCTATGCAGTTCAGGCTGCCCTTGAGCTCACTTTGTACCCAGGTTTGTCTCAAACTGGCAACAATTCTCCTGACTCAGACTCCCAAGTGCTGAGATTACAGGCACGCACCACCATGCCTGGCAGTACTGTAGCTTTCAATTTAGAGGTCTTTTATATCCTTCCTTAGATAGATTCCTAGGTATTTTTTTTTCTTTCTTTTTTTTTTTTTGAATGCTATTGTGAAAGGTACTGTTTCCCTAATTTCTCTCAGTGAGTTTATTTGCGTACAGGAAGGCTACTGATTTTTTCAGTGTTGACTGCATCCAGCTGCACGACTGAATTTGCTTATTAAGTCTAGCAGTTTTATGTA